AAGCAAACAGAATGGACTTATCGTCTGGTACTTTCCAGGGGATCAGACCTGGGCCTTCATTCCATCAAAGAATAAGGCAAAAGCTTCGAATGCATAGAAATGAGCTCGAACTGATTCTGTCTTCTGTACCTGCTTCTTGACATGGTCAATCTCAGATCTCAGTCTCTGGATCATGCGGTTGATCTCAGCAATCTCCTGCTTGGTGTTGCGCAGGTCATCCCCATGTCTGCCTGCAGTGACTTGCAGCTCCTCATACTGTAGGCCAATTGGAGAGATAGAAAATGAATATGAGTTTCATGTGCAAAGGAGAGCTGTCACTTGTAAAGCACATATGTGATAACCTTGAAATTTTTAGAAAAGTGGATTTTACATGGTTAATGGACATTGCAAAACCCAGTCACAAACCATCCTGTTTAGGAGACCAAAGATTGCCTGATTATCTAAGATCTAAGCACTGTGTAGCATGTTCTAAGAAGGAACATTCTGGGTACAGCTAGGTAAAATGACTAGCGCTTTACATGGCATATTTTCAACTTCCTCTGAGTCCTTTTCCTTTCTATGCTTGGCATAAACTCTGTAAATCTTTAACCATGTATAGTGTCCTTGCTGTGAGAAAAGCTCTACTTTCTCTCCTCAGCCCTCCCCAACCCAGTGGATCAGAAACTTTCTGGTTTTAGACGGCTGTCTCCAGGAGCACTGGGCCCAACTACTGCTCAGCAGCTGCCTCCCACTACTCACCTTGGTCTGGTACCAGGACTCAGCCTCAGCCCGGCTCCTCTGGGCAATCTCCTCGTATTGGGCTTTGACCTCAGCAATGATGCTGTCCAGGTCCAGGTTACGGTTGTTGTCCATGGACAGGACCACAGAAGTGTCTGAGATGTGGGTTTGCATCTGAGACAGTTCCTGCAGAACAGAAGGTGCTAAGGTCATCTTTGTGCATGTCCCTCATAGAAGCACCAACCCCAGGTCTTCCTGCCTGTGCAGACCCCAGCGGAGTGCAGGGCAAGGGGCTGAGGGAACTCACGGCATCATATAAGACTCTCAGGAAGTTGATCTCATCGATAAGGCTGTCAGCTCTAGCTTGCAGCTCAGTCTTATTCATGTAAGCAGCATCCACGTCCTGGGGACAGAGGCCACACAGAGGAGTTAGCTGCACCCTGCTGTGCAGGCCACCCATCTCCGTCACCCTGGCATCTCTCCTCTTGGATGAGAGTGGGAAACAGAACCAAGTCTCTTGTTCAGTAGGAAAAACTGCATCCCACTTTGTCACTCACCTTTTTCAAGGTCACAAATTCATTCTCTGCTGCTGTGCGCTTGTTGATTTCATCTTCATATCTATAAGAAAGGGTATAAAGCATTGTGTTCAGTGTGTGGCTCAAACTCAAAGGCTCTTGATCTCGTGTTTCCAGAAATAGAATATATCCAGATCCAGTTCTCCTGCCACAGAGAGACTGAACAATAATTTTCTCATCACTAATATATTTCCCTTTTCTGTATCCCAAGTTCTCATCACTCTCTTGTCATTCATTCTTTTGTTGTCAGTCAACAATTTATGATTGACATTTCTGGCCATGTTTTCCTACACAAATATGTGCACACCTACATTGTCATCCCATTGTTTTGAGGTGTGAGCCTGAGAAACAGAGCTTACCCTCCTTTTTGACTCACTTGTTCTTGTAGTCCTCCACTGTGCCCTGCATGCTCCTCAGCTCTGTGTCCAGGCGACCTCTCTCCCCCACATGGAAGTCCAGCTTCCTCCTGAGGTTGCTGATGTACTGCTCATACAGGGGCTCCACATTGTTCCTGACTGTCTTGGTGCCCTGTTCCTGCAGCAGGGCCCACTTGGTGTCCAGGACCTTGTTCTGTTGCTCCAGGAACCTCACCTGAAAGGAATACAGGACATTGATTTGTGAGACAAAGGCACAAAGGAAGAAGGGATGGGTTGCCAGGTCTCCCAGGGGTCGTGGCTTCTCCCTGATGCATGGTTCTGAGCACTCCCAGTGCCTCAAGCTGAGAGTTTGGTCCTCTGCAAGTCCTCTTTTCCACCACCCAGACCCACCAAGAACACTTCAGTATGGACCACTAAGGAATTGTCTCCCTCTAACCTATTGTATTCAGTGGCTTTTAACATTTGTTTTTCTCTTTCCAAGCTCAACTAACATTCTAGTTTAAAATAATATTTATTGATATCTTTAACAAGTCTGCACTGGGAACGGGACTTAAGTTTTTGGAGTATCCATGATGCCTAATGATTCTATTGACATTTATCCTCCCTTTTAATGCATGTATCTCTTAAAAAAAATATCCCATTTTTTAAATTACTCTCTGTGTCCTGAGTAAATCAGCATTTTTACACTTGTGTAACTTGCTCTGAAGTTTTCCTTATCTAGCTAGAGAATCTGTCTCTTTCCAGTTTGTGTTTAGCCTTTTCCTCTAATGCAGACTCCAGAGTGAGGCAAGGGCCCAAGCACGCTGGCATCTATCCTATCTCTTAGATCCTGTAGCAGGAGGCCTAGCTGCTCCCCTTGGCACTCCTCCTCCTGTGTGGGTCTGTAGGGGACTCAGCGGTTGGAAGGAATTCTAACTGCACCTCCTCCTGCTCTTGCCACCATAGATAGGACCATCCTGTGCTCTATGGAGGGCCAGTGGGAAGCCCCCTCCCTCTGCCCTACTTCACCCTGTTGGAGGATTGCTATGTGTCCATCTGGGGTCCCTACATTCCCTGAGGAGGCCAGGCCTCCCAGCTCACCTTGTCGATGAAGGAGGCGAACTTGTTGTTGAGGGTCTTGATCTGCTCCCGCTCCTCAGTCCTCACACGCTGGATGGTGGGGTCGACTTCCAGGTTCAGGGGAGTGAGAAGACTCTGGTTGACGGTGACCTCTTGGATGCCTCCAGGGGGGCACACGGGGAAGCCAGCGCCCCCATAGCCACCAACAAAGCCAGCTCCTCCACCGAACCCAGCTCCACCGCCAAAACCAAATCCACTGCAGGCTCCGCCTCCATAGCTAAAGCCACCTCCAACTCTGGTGCCATATGCTCCACCAGCGGCACAGCTGCCCCCTACGATGGAGATCCTCTTGGAACCTCCCAGGCCATAGAGGCTCCTGCTGCCAAAGCCAGCTCCTCCATACGCTGCCCCAATGCCGCCACTGCCCCTGGAGCGGCACACAGAGACACTGCTGAAGCCGGAGCGGCTGAGCCCAGGGACTCTGGCTGAGCTGGCACTGAAGCCACGGCGGCTGCTGTTCTGGCTCCTCACAGTGGTTTTGCTAGACATGTTTCCTGGTGCTGAGAAGGCTGGGGAAGGTAGTAGAGGCTGAGGGCAGAGCTAGAAGGGCAAGTGAAAGAGATGGGTGCCGGCAACAGTTTATATGCGGTGCTGATGGGCTGGGCTGGTTCTGGAAGGTGAGCCTGCACATTGCGAGGGTTGGGTTTTACACATAGTGAAGTCACACCTGCATTGTTAGCAAAGTTATGAAATATCGAGATTGCATTTTTTGGCATCCCTTAGTCAGGGAAAATTCTGAATTTATCTCAGTACAGTGAGACAAATGTCAACTCATTATGGGGAAGAGTTAGTCACAGTCTTCAACAAGATTCTTCAGGCCTTGCTGTGCGTCTGAGCACTGGGAGTGCTGTCTGCTTCCCAGCCTATGAAGCATTGAGGGTCCACTATCACCTTATGCTACCAGGAAGACTGTCATTTTCTCAGTGTCTCAAATGTTAAACAACTTATTTGCGTTTATGCAAAGTGTCACATATACAGAGGGCTTAGCCCCACACTTAGCCTCCCACAGCCCTCTCAGCCAGGGTTAACACCGAAGCTTTCACAGCCCTGTTTCTTCCACCCTTCCACCCTATTCACTCACTTACCCCGAATTATTTGAACATAATTTCTAGAAAACATAACTTTTTTAAAGATAATTCAGTATGTCGAAAGATAAAGTTAAAAAAATAGACACCAAACTACACCTATATTTTAAAGATGTATATGTCCAGTAATATTAAAAATTCTTTAATTTATATGATTTAATTTTTTAGTATCCTTGTAACTATTACTTATTTCTTACTATTTGGTGCCCCAAATTTTTTATTCTCATTTTCTTTGGGTGAAATATCTTAAATAATATACAGTAATCCCTTGCTATTTTGCGTTCAACTTTTGTAGACTGTTTTGTGGGTTTTCAAAAAGTATCATTCTAAATTATTTATTGTAGGGCCGGCCAAATAGCTCAGCAGATTAAAGCACCTGCAAGCAGGTGCAGGGGCCAGAGTTTTGATCCCCAAGCCTGCCCCTGCTGGCCCCGACCCCTGGGCATGCTGAGATGGAGATTGAGACTGGG